TTACTTCTTCAGATTATAAGTATCAAAATAGGTAGGTCCTGGAAGTTTTATTTTAAAAAGTAACTTTGCCAAGCTCTTCTTATACTATTTATTTGTAAGTCTTCCATACATATTCCAGGATGCCCTCACACAACCCTCTACCACAGATTACTCACAATATTTCCCCAGAAAAATCGCCAACTCAGAACAGAATAGAAGCGACAAGAAAGCATGAAATATGGAGACTGGCTTTTTCTTAAGCTTCTTTTAAGGAAATAATTGGACCCAGAACACACATTCTTGAGAAACATCATGGGGATGTGACAAGGAAGGGGGCTCAGATGAGCACCTTGCATTGGAAAGTAAACTATTCTTAGATATTTTATCATTCTACAGAAAAATATTCTCAAATTCATTTATTTCTCCCAAAAATATAACCTTGTGAAAATATGGGAGGTAGTAGAATTTTCCAGTAATTTCCCATGCCTTGATATATCAAATTATAAAGTGGGGCATGGATTACCCCAAAATGGATTACCCTCCTCATTTCACCTTGTAATATCAGTATAAAATTCTGCACACTCATATTATCATACTTAACAAAATCCAGTCAAGATGCTCCCACTACCCCCAGGCTTTTCTAAAATGTCAACCCTTCCACCACTCTGGGTCATTACACAGTGAGTTTTCTTCAGTGTGTACCAGCTACAAAACAGCACAGTTTGGCCTCCAGCTACACCATTCTTTTCATATTTACTAAATCAGAGGTGTGCTGCTTCTCAGGGTCAAGCACCTGCTAGCAGGCATGAGGGGGAATTATGCCATGCTCATATTTGCAACCTGTTTCAGATGTGGAAGGGGTCATCAAGGTAACTAGGACACCACTACTACAGATGTGCATCGTTCATTGCAATTCACTCTTCTAGTTCAATGAGTCCCCCAAAGAGCAATGAAACAGCTACGTCCCATTACTATGTAGCAAGAATTCACATAAGCTGCCTCCAAATATTACTGGGAATATATGTGTGTGTGAGCATGTGAGTGCCATCAAAACAAGAAGAATCACAGAGGCAAATCTCCATCAATGAAGGTCTGTACACCTGATCCTATTGAAACAACACCTTTCCCATTTTGAGGTTTTTAAAGCTGAAATGAACTTCCAGTTGAGAAGAAAAACAATGGGTAGGATCTATGGAGAATTCCATGCATCATAACTGATACCTGAACCTGGGATATTATTCAGTCGTGTTAAAGAGCCTGGATATGCATGGAAAACAGGCCACAATTCAAGTTATAAAAATTGGACATTTCCTTATTGCCACATTTTTACACCAGACTCTCTTTATGAAATTGATAAAGAAGAAATAGTAGGAAAAATACTCCATTATTATCAGTAAAGATCATGTTCCAAGGCTTGCTGATCACATGGATCCCAGTTCCTCTTGAAGGTCATGTGAACACACCAGCTTGATGCAGTCAAATGAGCATGTATTTCTCATTGCTTTTCCCAAATCAATGCAAAATCTTTTCAGCATTGCATTCTAGTCATGATTTCATGTCAGCACATGAACTTCCCTCAGATTCCCACATTCACAACCCACTACCATTCTCATTTTTAAATATACTTGCGATTTCTTTTAATTACTATCATTTATTACTCTACTGTATTAAACAATCTGATTACAGTACAATAAAATCATAGGATTTGTCCATGTTGTTTCCAACCTAAGGCAAATCTATCATGAGGTTTTCACTGCCTTCTTCAAAGGCTGTGAGAGTTTGACTTGCTCAACATCAGACTGTGGATTTAGCCACAGAATCTAATCAAATATCATCCCAGATTCCATTTTGAAAAATCCAACTATGCACATGTTCTGCTATCGTATTTGTATATGAAATATCAAGGGTGTTTTGACTGAAACAGAAACTGTTTTGTTCTATATTATCCTATTAAATATTTTAAGACAAGTCATATTTGCTCATGTCTGCTATTATTTATACTACATATTCTAAGCTATTAACATAGCTGGATTACTAGCCCTTGCACAAAATACTTTTGACACATTAAGAAAAATTACAAACGTTTTGCCCACAAAGCTTTTATACTGCAATAAACCTTTTGAGAAAAGCAGCTTTAAGACTCACCAATTTCAAATTAAAAGTTATGCTCAAATCTATCCACTGTGCAAGGATACAGCTATTTAGCATTAGTTGGATTATACACCACCCCTTCACAGGCTGGGAAACACACATTAAAAAAACTTTTTTTTAATTAAAAGAACACATCTCTAGGTCATTTTTCTTGGTCAACACCCACCAGATGCTAACGACAAAATTGCACTGGAGGACTGATAGATTCCTAGAGTGAACATTTCACTATGATTCATGGGCAGTCAAAGTGCAGCTTGTATACAGTATCCTACCACTCCCTACACATATTTTAAACTGAAAAATGCTCCTCACGCCCTTTAGGGGACATGAAAAGCAATTATATCATGTCCCCCAACAGAAGGTATTTTAAATTCAGGTGGAGGCTTCCTCAAAAACCAGAAATGAGTTCTATTTACTTCCTTTTGGTATGAAAAAGAGGTCTCTCTTGGAGCTAACAAAATTCTACACAGGTCAGAATTTCCCACCAAAGGTTTAAGAAAGCACAGGTTAATTTTTTTTGAACTTAAAAACTGATGTTATTTTAGGTAAAATAGAAGGCACTAACCTCCCTTAATCATATAATCTGTGTGCATGCGTGCATTCAAACTGGTTGTCAATTTAATGAATTTCATAAGGTGAGCTCCCTAAATTTCACAGTGTGGATTGCTCAATAATGTAACCTGTACATACTAGTCAAGATCCAGGGGCATACCCATTATATTTCAGTGAATGGGAAGCTTTCCATCAGCAGACCATTTAAGAAAGCAAGAAACAGAATTTCATGAATAGTTTAATTTGGAACAGTTTGTGAAGAAGGTCAATGAAGGGAAAGAAGCAAGAAGATGCAATAACTTGTTCACGGACTATCTGTGATTTAGTAACTTGGGATAGGATTATGGAAGCGCATTGACTTGTGTTAGCCTTTAAGAATAGATTGGAAACTGCAGCTAATCCAGAACACAACATCTAGTCTGTTAACAACATTCAGGCAAATAATCATCTGACTACGCTAAAGAACTTCCCAGCTCATAAAGTGCCCAAACTTAATTCAAAGGAATGGGTCCTCAAGATGTGGTTACACTGTAACTTTTATCAACCAATGCTGAGGGACTACAGTCCAACAACCTTTTTAGAAGGCCCAGGTTGCTGATCCCAGTGTTAAAGTCCAACAAACAAGGTTTTCAACAAAATCTTATGTCGAACTCTTGATTCAATTCACCTGCCCACTGCAATGCTCATCTGAGACCACTCCCTCTTTGATGTAATTATCTGAAACGCATTGGGATGCAATTGGAGAGGTAGGTTTTCTGGTAATGGCACTTCACCCTTGGGGCACTCAAAACTCACCTGGCATTCTTATTACTGTTATATTATACACCAGAAAAAGCAAGAGCCTTCCCAAGTTCTCAATAATTTCTAGTGTCAGCACTTAATAAAATCAAACATTCTTGTCTTTTCAGTTTGTTCTTTAAAAAAAAAAACCCTTAATTTTTACTACTTTAGTATCTGTTCTGCAAATATAAATCTGGGGGGACAGGGACTATGTACTGATGCGGTTGGAAACTGTAACCATGTCTTTTAAGCCTAAAAGAACACAAAGCATTTAAACAAGTGGTTCTCATCCTGTAGCTTCCCAGGTGTTTTGGCCTACAACTTCCAGAAATCCCAGCCAGTTTACCAGCTGTTAGGATTTCTGGGAGTTGAGGGCCAAAATATATGGGGACCCACATGTTGAGAGAGAACCACTGATATAAGCCAAAACTTAGCAGAGGTGTATTTTTTTTTCAATTGCTGCAAAATGTGTGGTGTATAATAGCCTGCATTACAATAATCAAGTAACAACTTGTCATGCTATCTTTGTACTTCTGGGCAAATATGGGTGCAAGATGGATTGTTAATATATTAAGCCCAAGTATATGCGTTTAAAAATAAAAAAGAATATCAAAATAATTTTTGAAGGCCTAAGGTAGACCTTGAAGTTTCTGGGAGTAGATATATATTTAGAAAATATCTTAATTAATTTTCTTGTGTTTATTAGGTATCACTCTGTTGAAAGAATTCAACATGTGTTTACTGTATATATGTGCATATATGTGTATCAAGGGTATGCCTTCATATCCACATTTTTAGAGTAAACCCATTCTTGAAGCAATACTTCAAGAATACATTCTTAAACTCTTTTGGCAGTAATATGATGTATCCTGCAAATAAAAAAAAGTTTACTTGGCAATTAAAATAGGGAATTGTAAAATGGTGTGGAAATAATGTCAAATCAGTACTCCATATAATCTATAAAGTACATGATACAAGAGTGGCGAGGGACCCCAGATGTGGAATAATAAAGAAGCAGTAATAGCCAAAGTCATACTCTCTTTAAACATCACAGAAACATGTTTAATGAAATAAAAAGAAAATATACTCAAAATATAAAATGCTGAGTTTTCTCATAGCAGCATGCCTATTTCTTGATATTTTGGGTTGTTACAGTAAGCAATATTTGGGTTTTTTTCACAATCACCTCCTGACATCATGCTTATTCACTTGCCTGTTCTCCATTATTTCCAGTAGACGTTCTCCAAACAGTCCAAACGATAATACAGTAAATTAATACACAAGCAAGAGGAACATAAGCTAATGGGTGAAAAGTCATTAGAAGTTTGTTCTGAGAATTCGAACTAAGCTTCTATTGGCAGATTTAAAATTTCCAACAACACAGCACCACGAAATTCTGTATTTTCTATCAGTCTGTCTTTTTGGATAAGGCACAAGACACAATGTAACAATTAATTAATAGCAATGGGGGATTCTTCCATTTAATTCTCTATCATATGGATAGCAGGTTAATAATATGTAAGATGAAGCCAACCTACCAGAACTGTAGTACAGATGGACTTAAGCTCAGATTCCACTTTCTCTCGGTAGTCCTTGACAAGCTGCATCTTCTTGTCATTGCCATCGGTTTTCTGCTCAATGCTAGAGATCACCCGCCAAGCAGAGCGCCGCCCCCCTACAACATTCTTGTATGCCACAGAAAGCAGGTTGCGTTCTTCATTGGACAATTCAGCGCCCTGTTCTGTCACTGCCTTCATGCAGGTAGCCATGTCATCATAGCGCTCCGCCTGCTCAGCCAGCTTGGCCTTCTGGATCATCTCGGTCTTCTCCATGTTGGCCAGCAGCAGTATAAGCAGCGAGACAACTGGCTTGGGGAGGAGAGAGAGGCCTTTCACACAGTCAAGAGAAGGCACCAGAAAACCTGCAAGCACAAGGAGACGTTCTGAAATCTGTGCTCATTCCAAGTAAGCAATTGCTCAAAGCAACTAGAGGAGCTACTATGGATGTGGGGAGTCAGGCCAATGAGAAAGAGAGCAACAGTGAAGTGCTGCCAATGTAGATGCAAGAACAGAACAAACATAGCTTTAGAAAAGGTCAAATGATCCTCCTCCCCCTGAGGATGTTACCTAAAGCCCCATCTACACTGCCATATAAAATCCAGATTATCTGCTTTGAACTGGATTATATGACAGATGCAGCCTAAGATAGCAATCCGGCTGGATCTGCACTGCCACATAATACAGTTTGAATCTGCACTATATGGTCAATGTAGACCAGACCAGCACAATCTGTGGTCTCCAGATGTTTGGGAATCCAACTCCCAGGAGCCCTAGTTTAGTCCAATGGTCAGAATGCTGAAGTCCAAAACACTTCTGAGCGTCACGGGTTGTGCATGTATGGTGTAGACCCATACAATGCAGCTTCAAACTGTGTTGCTACGATTAAGGCCGCATCTACACTGTAGAACTGATGCGGTTTGACATTAATTTAAGGACAGTGGCTCAGTGCTGTAGAATCCTGGGAATTGTGGTTTGGTGGGGCACAAGACATCTTGGGCACAAAAGGCTTAAGACCTTGCAAAACCACAACTCCCATGATCCCATAGATTTGGGTCATGACCCTTAACCAAGCATGGAACTGCATAAATTGTGCAGTGCAGGTGTACCTACAGTGCTTAGAAATAGTGATCGGGACAGAGGTCCCTACTTCAGGATTGGATATTCTGGGTGTTGCTGTTGAACTGTGGTTCCAATCATTTCTACCCAACATCCATAGCTATGAAGGATGGGAGCTGCAGTTCAACAGCATCTGAAAGCTATTCAGCCCCTTCTTTTGTAAATCAGAAGCAAAGAGATCAAGTCATGGGGAGGAGTGCTATTTGCAGAAATAAGAATCAAGCCTTCAAATCAAGGGCAGCCTTTAATAAGAATGCAAGACACGTGCAGAAGGGCGTCAGAGGCATGCAGGGCTAGAATAGGGAAGCCGGGTGCGGGAGAGGCAAAGGCTGCGTCTATTCTGCTGAATTAATGCAGTCGACACCCCCCTTTGCCTGGCATGGTTCAATCCTGTGGACTCCTGGGAGTTGCCCTTTTACTGGGGCCCTTTCCACACAGCTGAATAAAATCCCACATTATTTGCTTTGAACTGGAATATATGGCAGTGTGGACTCAGATAACCCGGTTCAAAGCAGTTATTATGCATTATTTGTCTTGATACTCTGTGTTATATAGCTCTGTGGAAGGGCCCTGGGGCCCCTTCCACAGTCCAATAACCCAGAACATCAAGGCAGAAAATCCCAAAATATCTGCTTTGAACTGGGTTATCTGAGTCCACACTCAGATAATGTGGGATGTCCTCCCTTGATATTCTAGGATATAGGGCTGTGTGGAAGGGCCCATTGAACTGAATAAAAACCCACATTTCCTGTTTTGAACTGGAATATATGGCAGTATGGACTCAGATAACCCAGGGTCCTTCCACACAGCCATATAACCCAGAATATCTAAGCAGAAAATCCACAATATCGGCTTTGAACTGGGCTATCTGAGTCCACACTGCCATATATTCCAGTTCAAAGCAGAAAATGTGGGATTCAGCTGTGAGGAAGGGGTCCCAGTTCAAAGCAGATATCGTGGATTATCTGCTTTAATATTCTGGGTTACATAGCTGTGTAGAAGGGTGGGTGTTTAGCCATCTGTGCCAAAGAGGGCAGGTGCTTCACAGATCTATAGACCTCGGATTTCACGGCACTGATCCATGGGTTACAAAGGGGTGCCATGCTGCATTCACTCTGCAGTATAAATGCACCTTGAGGTGGGAAAGCCTGGCAGGCAAAACAAGGAAACAAGCAACAGGAATAAAGCCAAAAGAGGGGCCAAGAAGAAAGGCCAGGAGTGGGAGCCTTTCCACACCGAGTCATATAGCCCAGAATATCAAGGCAGAAAATCTGACAATATCTGCTTTGAACTGGGTTATCTGATGGCTCTTCCACACAGTCCTATATCCCAGAATATCATGGCAGAAAAATCTGCTTTGAACTGGAATATACGGCAGTGTGGATTCAGATAATTTAGGGCCCTTCCACACAGCCCTATGTCCCAGAATATCAAAGCAGAAAATTGCACATTATCTGAGTAGGAACTCAGACAACCCAGCAGATATTCTGGGATATAGGGCTGCGTGGCCCTCAGATAACCCACCTGAAAGCAGATATTGTGGGATTTCCTGCCTTGATATTCTGGGTTATACGGTTGTGTGGAAGGGCCCCAGATCAAAAAGGGCTTTTGTGTCCATGCACTGTCTGACCCTGCCCTTCCCTGGTTGGTCATATGAGGCTGGCAGATATTCTGAACTATTCAGGTGTTGTCAATGCCTGGCAAAATAGAATAAGTAAAAAAATCAGGATTCCAACATAGAGTGACTTTCACATCACTGTATGGGTAAGACTCCTTTCAAAGGTAATGGGCCTTCCATACAGCCCTATATCCCAGAATATCTGCTTTGAACTGAGTGATCTGAGTCCACAGGATGATAAAACATCAAAATCATCCAGGCGTCCCCTGGGCAACGTCCTTGCAGACAGCTTATTCTCTCACACCAGAAGACACTTGCACTTTCTCAGGTTGCTTCTGACACGAACAATAAATATATAAATCTGAGTCCACACGCAGATGAGGGATTTTCTAACTTGATATTTTGGGATATAGGGCTGTGTGGAAGGGCGCTGGGTTATCTAAGGCCCCTTCCACACATCTGTATATAATCCCACATTATCTGCTTTGAACTGGGTTATATAGCAATGTGGAAGGGCCCTGAGCCCACACTTCTATATATTTCAGTTCAAAGCAGAAATGTGAGATTTTATTCAGCTGTGTGGAAGGGGCCTTGGTTATCTGAGTCCACACTTCTATATAGCCAAATTCAAAGCAAATAATGTGGGATATTCTGGGATAGAGAGATGTGTGGAAGGGCCCCCAGATACCCCGGTTCAAAGCAGGTATTTCCTGCCTTGATATTCTGGGATAGAAGGTTGTGTGGAAGGGCCCTCAGATAACCCGGTTCAAAGCAGGTATTTTCTGCCTTGATATTCTGGGATAGAGGGTTGTGTGGAAGGGCCCCCAGATAACCCGGTTCAAAGCAGGTATTTTCTGCCTTGATATTCTGGGATAGAGGGTTGTGTGGAAGGGCCCTCAGATAACCCTGTACAAAGCAGGTATTTTCTGCCTTGATATTATGGGAGAGAGGGTTGTGTGGAAGGGCCCCCAAGATACCCCGGTTCGAAGCAGRTATTGTGGGATTTCCTGCCTTGATATTCTGGGATAGAGGGCTGTGTGGAAGGGAGAAAAGGGAGGGAGGGCGCGAGGAGAAAGAGGAGGGCGCGCCCAAGGTGTGAAATCTTTGTCCGCAGAAGGGAGGGGAAGAAGGGAAGGAGGAAAATGGGGGMAAGGAGGGGAGGGAAGAAAAGAGGGGAAGGAGGCGGAAAGGAAGGACAGCAAAAGGGAGTGAGAAGGAGAGAGAGGAAGAAAGGGAGGGAAAGCGAAAGGGTGAAACAGAAGGGGATCAGGAAGGGGATGATGAAGGGAAGGAGGTACAAAGAAAGAAGGGCTCCCCCACCTCCCTCCGGAAGGGCGGCAGGAAAAGGAGAGCGGGCAGGGCAGGGGAAGGCCCACTCGACCGAGAGGCGCCTCCCTTGCCTCCCAGCAAAGGCCGGTGCGAAATGGCGGCGCTGGTGGTGAAGGTGCCGCCTCTCTCTCTCTCTGTCTCTCTCTTTCTAGCTGCCTCTCTTCCCTCCGCGGCTCTTCCGTCCTCCACAAAATGGACGCCACCGCGAGGAGAGGCGAAGAGAGGCGAGGCCACCCGCGGCGCGAGGACGTGCCCTCGCGCCCTCTCTCTCTCTTTTTTCTTCCTCGACCCCTTTCCCTCACCTGAGTCCGCCGCCGCTGCTGCTGCCGCTGCTGAGGCTGAGGGGGGCGCGAGGCCGTGCCGGCGCGCGCCTTCTGCTCAAGTCGACTGCGCTCGGAAGGAAGGAAGCAAGGAAGGACGGAAGGAAGGAGAGGAAGGAGGAGGAGGGCGGGGGAGGAAGAGAGAGAGAGAGACAGAAAGCCGCTCCCGTCGCAGGCGCGAGGAACAGCGTCGCTGCTACAGGGCGTTGGCACAAAGCGCGAACCCACTCCGCGGCAAGGGCCCGCGCTCTCGCGGCTCGGCCAATCGGCGCTGCCGATCCCTGCCCGGGCCCCGCCTTCGAGGTCCCTGGCGGCCAATGGCAGCCGTGCGCGCGGCCGCGGACAGGACTAAGCTAACCAGCAGGGCCCAAGCTCGGTTGGCCGGTGCTTGCGGCAGCTGGGGCCACGGGGTTTCCTCCAATTAGATCCAGGGTGAGAAGACGTCACTATCGCCATAGCGACGCCGCTACAACCCCCCCTCCTCTCCTCTCCCTTGTTCTTTTTTTTTTTTTCTTCTCCCCCGCACATGCGCAAAAGCGTCTCTTCCCCTAGGAGCCAGGGCGAGGCACGAGACGGTGCGGAAGCGAGGGCAGGGAGTCAGGCACCGTCTCGTGCTGCTCCTTGCAAAGCGGGAGGGAAAAGCAAACGGGAGAGGAGGAGGAGGAGGGTTTGCCATGCATGCTGAGTTGCTGCTGCCACCACCAAGCAGCACAGGAAGGAAGGTCAAAGTCTTGAGGGGAGGAATGCGAGCCGCCGATAAAGACCTTGAGTCCTCCATGCGGAGGAAATGCCGGAATTGGAGCAGGCATCCCGCCTTCAAAGCCAAGGAGGGTGGCTTTCGCAGGGGCTTAGCGGCCAACGTTACAAGGCATGACCAGCCATGGCCTCGCGGGGATCCAGAAATAGCGGCAGCTCCTCTCCTGATCCCTATCAATATACCCTTTCCTCTGCGCCAGGAAGAGGCTTTTGCAAAGCTAATGAGTTCTGATGCTTCGCCCCTTGCCTTGCATTGCAAACGCGGCCCTTCGTTATATAGTTATGTATTTATTTCTCACACTTTTATCCTGCCCTTTTTAGCCCAAAGGCGACTGGGGGCGGCATACAGACTGGCCACAATCAGATGCCGAACACACGTAAATACATTGTTTAAAATAGCATAAATCACATAATAAAATTCATATTAAAACAATTTATAACTAAAAATTAATGACTTCCAGGTTTAAATCCGTGTCCATTTGCATCGTCAAGCCGTTCCATATCCGTTCACAGTATATCTGGTTACAATGAGGTCGAAGCTTGGTCGAAGAGCCAGATTTTTCCTCTTTTCCTAAAGGCCAGGAGGGAGGGGGCTGATCTAATATCCCCAAAAAGGGAGTTCCACAGCCGAGGGGGCACCACTGAAAAGGCCCTGTCCCTCATCCCCACCAAGCCCGCCTGTGAGGCAGGTGGAATCGAGAGCAGGGCCTCCCCAGATGATCTTAAATTCCTGGAAGGTTCATAAGGGGAGACATGTTCGGATAGTTAAGTTGGGCCAGAACAGTTTAGGGCTTTATAGGCCAAAGCCAGCACTTTGAATTGTGCCTGGTAGCACACTGGCAGCCAGTGGAGCTGGCGCACAGTGGAGTTATATGCTCCCTGAGCGCCGCTCCTCTTAGTAACCTGGCTGCCGCACGCTGGACCATTTGGAGCTTCCGGACAGTCTTCAAAGGCAACCCCACGTAGAGCACGTTGCAGTAGTCCATATGGGATGTAACCAGAACATGGACTACCATTGCCAAATCAGACTTCCCAAGGTACGGGCACAGCTGGCACACAAGTTTTAATTGTGCAAATGCTCTCCTGGTCACCACCCAGACCTGAGGTTCCAGGCTCAGCGATGAATCCAGGATCACACCCAAGCTGCGAGCCTGCGCCTTCAGGGGGAGTGTAACCCCATCTAACACAGGCTGTAACCCTATGCCCTGTTCAGCCTTACGACTGACCAGGAGTATCTCTGTCTTGTCTGAATTCAATTTCAATTTGTTTGCCCTCATCCAGCCCAGTTGGACATCATCTGCATACAGGTGACACCGCACCCCAAAACTCCAGATGATCTCCCCTAGTGGCTTCATGTAGATGTTAAATAACATGGGGGCAGTATTGAGCCCTGCGGAACCCCACAAGACAATGGTTGTGGAGTTGAACAGGTGTCCCGCAACAATACCTTCTGGGTGCGACCCTCCAGAAAGGACTGGAGTCACTGCAAAACAGTGCCTCCAAGGCCCATTCCTGTGAGGCATCCCAGAAGGATACTGTGATCAATGGTATTGAAGGCCGCTGAGAGGTCCAGCAGAACCAACAGGGACACACTCCCCCTGTCTAGCACCTGGCATAGATTATCCACTAAGGCAACCAAGGCTGTCTTGGTTCCATGTCCCGGCTTAAAACCAGACTGTGCCGGGTCCAGATAATCCATGTCTTCCAAGAATACCTTGAGTTGTGAGGCCACCATACATTCCAGGACTTTGCCCAAGAAGGGTAGATTGGAAACAGGCCGATAGTTGATGAATTGAGTGGGGTCCTGTGATGGTTTTTTCAACAGCAGTTTTTATCACAGCTTGTTTTAAGCTCGCTGGAATGTTATTTTCCCGAAGAGAGGCATTAACCACCACCTTCACCCACTCTGCCAATCCCCCTGTGGTCAGTCTCATCCCTCCAAGTATCTTGTCCACAGCAACAGTAATGGCTGCTGAATCTGTTGCATCAACAACAAAAAAGAAATGTCACCTTAAATATAACATATTTAAATTAAATAATATTTTAAAATCATTTTAATAATAACAGTTAAGTTGCTGTGATTTTTCCAGGCTGTATGGCTGTGTTCCAGAAGCATTCTCTCCTGACATTTTGCCCACATCTCTTGACAGGCATCCTCAGAAGTTGTGAGCGCAGGTGAAAAGTATCATAATAATATTTGGCATGAACTTCCAGGGGTTCAGCCTCACTTTCTCTGATGTGCAAAGTGTGGGCTTGGTAGGCATATATTGAATCCTTGAAATCTGCTATGGTTTGGTTCCAGGATCTTTTGTGGATACTCCAATCCGTGAATGCTCAAGTCCCATTATATGCCATGTTCTGGTGAGCCATTGCCCCTACAGCCTAATAAAACGGTGTCTCTTATACATAATAGCAAAACAAAAATCAAATGAGAGCTTGGGAATCTTTAACATAACCTGATCAGTGTTTTCAAAATTAGCAGGATTGTTATTGATCATCTTCTGAGAATCATTACCTTAAATAGAAAAAACCTACCCTATTTTGTTAGAAAGGATATTGGGTCTACCTACTTGTTGCTTTCTTATACAGTACTAGCCATCCCATGCTATATATGAGTGCATATATACTAGCCATCCCATGCTATATATGAGTGCATATATTTTTTGTGTATGTGGTTTTGTGCATGCATTGTATTTTTTTAAAAAAATGCTTTTAAAGCATTTTTTGCTGTGTTTTTCAATTTTTTTATGGGTGATGGTCACTTGTTGGCCTGATAGGTGTTATTGTTTCTAAATTTGGTGTCAATTCGTCCAGTGGTTTTTGAGTTATGTTAATCCCACAAACTAACATTACATTTTTATTTATATAGATGTGTGAGTATGTTGTGTAAAGTCACAGAGCAGGTAGGATACCCCATCACTTGAAGTTGTTGTGGTAAGTTTAACTAAGGATTCGTGACACTTTGAGAATTTTGAGTTGCATTATATCAATGTCTTGGTGGAATGAGTAGGTCTAGAAAAATATACGATTTGCATAAAGAGCATAGGGAAGATGTCATTTTGTTTTATTCTTTAAATGGAACCCATTAGTGGAAGATGTCCAGGACTGGTGGTAGTCTGAGTCCAACAACACAACAGACACATCTACACTGATCCTTAACATAGTAATATCAACCTACTATGTAAAAATTTTCAATAAAATTATTTTTTTAAAAAAAACATAGTAATATTAATCTTTATTTGTACCCAGGCCCATCTCCCCGAGGGACTCAGGGCAGGTCATAACATGAAGAAGTGCAGTTAGATACATAAAAAGAAAGTGAACAAATAATAACACATCAAATCAACAGTAAATAAAAAATAAACATTACCCATAGTTTGAGGGGCCAGGTTACCTACATTATCACCTCCTGCACAATTGTCCTTTTTGGAAAATGTGACTCTCCAAAACCATTTGGGAAATGGGATTCATAACCTTTTTGGGAATCCACTCATCAATGGAAAGGCATGACCTTGTTAGAAATCACAACCTTTTGGGGGAAAAAATTGCATTCACCAGCATTCATGCAAGGCAACTAGGTCTCTCAGCTGTTGAACTGATGTACCTAGGTATGTCTTTGAACTGCTAAGGACAAAGACATGTCAATGAACAAAAACATATATTTAGCAGAGTTTCAGAAGTATTCCTTTTAAGTTGCCCAAAAAGATCTACTCTCCCTTAAAATATATTTGCCTTTAAATCATGCTCTCAAGAGACAAAATAAAGTCTTCTTTAAAAGTAAACAGAGTTGGTTTACTCACAAAACTTCATGTATACAGCATACAGGCACTTTGCTTATGAATCCAGTTACAATAGGATTTTGTAGTAGTTTCTCTTTGTAGGTATCACAGGGCATTTTCCTTAGAAACAACAGTCCATAGTCCAAAGCATCTCTCTGAGATCTAAGCATCCAGTTCCTGCATTGAAGTCTAAACTGAACTGTTCCTGCAGCCTTCTTTGGTAGGGATACAAAGACAATGCGTTTTCAGTGGTGGCTTCTAAAATTTGGGGTGCCTTTCTTGGGATGGCGAGAAGCACCTGCATTGCTTATATCAGTACCCCTATTTTTAGGTGAGACAAGTAAAATAATAAGTATAATATAAAATAATAATAATAATAATAATAATAATAATAATAATAATAGCAATCTTCATAAAAAGGCCTTTGCAGACTGGATGTTTTTGAAGAAGTAGCTTTTATTTGATTGCTGTTCTATTTTTAATTGTTTCCATTTAATAAATAATATTTTATTTATTACCCGCCTCTGCTTTCCACTCAAGATGGAGCACGACATAGTTAAATACATCTATAATATCACATATTAAAATAGTTAAAATTCTCTCACACCAGAAGCGATTTGCAGTTTCTCAAGTCACTCCTGACATGAAAAAAAAAACCCAAATTATCTTCTTATCCCTGATTATCTGGTAGTGGAGACTCATA